GAGTGTCGGATGCCGGCCAAGTTGGGCGCTCGGGTGGAAAGTCCTGCGTGGCCCACGAGGAGGAGCCAGGGCCGGGTTGGGGAAACTGAGGCTCGGGCTGGCCTTCCCTTGATCCCGGGTCGCCCGCGGACGAGCCGGGCTCTTCCCAGGGTGTCTGGAAGCGGCAGTCGCAGGCCGGGAGGGGTGGGTGTAACCTGTTAGCCCCGGACGGGCCCTCCGGAGGGCGCAAATTCGGTTTTGTGGCCCCGAAGTTAGTATTTGCTGCAGGTTAGAGTTTATCAAAGGTTTCCGTTGGTAAACAAGACTAGTTGGGTTGAAAAATATGTCCACCGATTGCAGCAGAAACAGGTCTACCAGTTAGTTGGGGAATCTTTTCAGGCATCGTCTACTTGTGTTGTATCCGAAAGGGTTACAGTCGGAAGGGCCCTCTGGCGCCTCAAGTAGGACTTCGGGGCCGGGGAGCTTGGTGGCAGCCTTCATTGAGCGCGTCCGCTCTCCCGAAGTGGGTGAGGCTGAGGGTGCGTGCGGTTAACACCAGGCGGTGTGAGTCAGCCTGAACCTCGCGGCGGCTGCGGGGTCAGGAGCCAGGCTTGTCAGTAAGGTCCTATTGACATTTTTCTCCCGGTGGAGGATTTTTGTTTCCCTTTAAGCCTTTGGTCCGTTAGAGACTTTGAAAAGAACTTTTTGGATGAGGCCAGGAAGTTGAGCTTTGCTGTGTAAATTCTTAGATACGGTATTTCCCTTTGTCAACTATTAGAGAAGTCAAATCACCTGTAATGATCAAATAAACTAGACTAAATTACTTTAAGTGACAGAAGGTTTGCATGGTTTTAAATTCTGCCTATCCTGTGTATATTTAGCCTAGATTAGTTTTACCCAGCAGTTGATAATGATGTCAGTTTGCAAAGCCGGGAAGATCCAGGCAACAGCACCTGGCTTTTGCTGGAATAATGCAGGTGTATACTGACGGTTTTACTGAACTTTCTGTTGGTTTGTTTGCTGAATTGTACGTGTAACGAATTGACTTTGTAGACCTAATTTGGAGATAATTTAACAAAAGGATCAGTAAAATGTCTATCTACTACTTTGGTGCAAATTTTATGCTAATATTTATGGGAGGAGGTTTTCATTTTTTAAAAAATCACTTGCTTTGTGTATTAAAGTAAACCTTGTGTTGTTTTTATAATGAACTACTGATTGAAGAAAGTAGGTGTGGCCTTATAACATACTTTTTGTGTGCCCTATTTTCACACTCACTGCCCTGTTCATTAATTTATCCTTTGAGGTTGGTGCTATTTGGGAAACGGGATTCTCTACTCTAGAGCCCTGATTTCATGAATTCTTATATCCAGAGTGAGCTGGAATTCATTTCTGCAGACTGTGTTACTTTGAAACTAGACGAAAAGTTTCAAAAACTTCTCAAAAAATGAGTAACCATTTCAGTCTGATAAGCAGCATATTATTGGCATAAAGTGACTTTATGGGGTACATATAGTGATTTTTTTACCTTTATTAGGTATAGTGATTTTTAACACGCTAAAACTAATAGCTTAATGTTTGCTGGACACATTTTCTGTGCACCCCGTTCTGTGTTAATGGAGGCCCATAAAGCATCCCATTGAATCCTTACCGTATTATCCCTATTTTAAAGGTGGATAAGCAGAGGCTTGGAGTTAACCAAATTTAAAGTAAAACAACCAAGACATGTTTGAGCTCAGATCAGAATCCAAACTCTCAATTAACCATGTCACACCACTAAGCCACTTAAGGTGATGTTGGCTTTTAAAATAGGTGATGCGTTTAATTCCACAATACTGCCATTGCCTGGACTGTTATGGGACAAGATAAGAATGCCATTGAAATTCAGCTTTTAAAATATTATTCTGCTGCATAGTTTTATAAATATCCTCAGTTTAAAGAAAGGGAGACTGAACAAAATCACCAAACAGGATAGATTGTGGTAGTCCAGTGAAGGAGGTTAATAGAGGTGGTGGGGAGTCATTTTCCTGGCAAATAGTGACAGAAACCCACCTTTAGCGAGCTTAGGGGAGAAAAGGGGCTTTTTACTATTACCAATGAAAAGTCCAAGGGTTGAAGTGGCTTAGAAACCGTAGTATTCAAAGGTTGGAATAGGTTGCCATGAAGTCATCCCAGCAATAGTAAAACCAGCAGGAGACAAGTTTATGCAGCAGGCCAGGCAGAAACATGACAGTGGTAGTGGAGGATAGGCATTTAGGTGCTGAGACTGATCACTTACTAATAGGCTGTACAGGGGGCAAGAAGGGAAGAATCAAAGAGTGACCTCTTGATGTAGAGGTTCAGCTGCTGGTAACACAACTACTGGGAAGAGTAAATTTACAGAAGAAAATCAGCAGTTCTGTTTTGGCACTGGTGTGCATGCTTTGGAATCAGCCACCCTGCTGCAAATTCAGACTCTGCTACTTAACTAGGTGGGTGGCCTTCTGTGTTCCTGTCACTGCAAGGTAGTACTCCTGTCTTACAATGTTGGGTGGTGAGGTTTGATGAGCTAATGCAGTCAACATGCGCTCCATGAAGCCCACAACACTTTCTAATGTTGGTAATTACTTGATACCTGCCACTACTAAATACATCTGCATAGTCTACTAATAGTGTCCTTTTTCAAGTTTAATCTTACACTATATCTTTTTATGATAAATGGATTTTAGTCCCATTGAGAGGAAGACATTTGCCTGAGGAAGATAGTTGAACAAGTGCTAAAGACTTCTTAACATTGTTCTTGCATACTTTCTTTGAGGTTGTTTTGTTTTTGTTTAAGTGGAAAAGGTTTCATCTGTGTAAAAAGTACATACTACATTTGATCTTTTCCCATGTGTATGTACTTAACCTTCCATTCTACAAAGATTCAAGATGACAAATTTAAAATTTTTCTAAATTTTAAGGTTAAAATTAGTTTAAAAATAAAAAAATCATACTGAGAAGACTCACAGTAAAAAATGAAAATACTACCCACTTCATTTCTCCATAGTCTGGGGTATCAGGAGGACCTGTAGGCACTGGGAGTAGAAATGGGCCACTCCATTCAGAAAGCAGGGTGTCAGCAGCAGAGATCTGCATCTCACTACCTCTTTGTCTTCTTGTGTACCAATGAACTCTGGGAAAGCTATTTGACTGGCACAATGTAAGTAGTCTGTTTGTTACATAGCTAGATGTTCTCTGTCTTGCAAGATCCAATAGTACAGTTTCAAATTTACTGATAACTTCAAAATATGTTTCACAGCAACCATGACAAAAGTAGAACTTCCTGTGGAATAATATACCCTCCCCCGACACATACAACCACCCAGGGGCAGAAAGGAACATGTTACCAGTGTTATTAGTTTAATATTAAATGTTCTTTCCTAACAGAATCTCTCTCTTTTTTTATATAGAATATACTGTGCCTCTGCATAACTCCAGTGGTAACCTATCAGGTGAGTTTTATAAGATCTAAGAAATAGATTTCTTTTCTCTGGGATACCTGAAGTTTTAACAGCTAGGAAGTGACATATAAACTAGAAAACCAACCTGTTTTACTCAGGAGTTGCTTATTCGTGAATCATTATACCCTACCTGAAAGGGTGCCCATTGTAGGCATTAATAATGATCATTTGCTGGCTTAGTAATCTCTGTCAGTCTAGTAAAGCTGTGAGTAATTTTTAAAATATTAGAATTTTATACTATGAGTTTTGAAGCACATTTTAGATGTGAAGATTTTATAGTGTACTGATGGATATGAAATATGAGTATGTAAGTCTGCAGGTCTTGCTAATGAAACAAGTCATTCTAAACTGGTCAGCCGTAATCACTATGCTTTGGCTGAGTCTAAGGAGATGTGGTTTACATGTCCACTGATAGTCAGACTTCAACCTATCATCTTGTTTCTCTTTTGAAACAATTGATGAGACCCTTTCCCAGTCCTTGCAGTGTGAGGCAAAAGGAATCCTTGGGACTGTTGTGTTCAGTAGCATGGAAAGATGCAGAAACCAGGCAGATGTCAATGTCAGTAGGAAACCAAAAAACTATGTTTCTCACAAGCAGTATTTGGGACATTTTCTCATTATTCTTTATTTTTCATAATGGATTGAGTTAGAAACTACAAAAAGTTACACATGTCCTTTCAGTAGACTGATTTTTCTCTACTTTCATTCAACAGACACTTATTGAGTATCTCTAACTCACTGATATGTTCCAGGCACTAAAAATGCATAATGGGCCAGTCCCTGACTCTGGAATTTTTCTTTGTTTTGTTATTGTAAGTAAAATAAGCAAAACATAAAATTTATTGTTTTTAACCATTTTATACTTTACACTTTTATGATTTTGTTTTAAGTCCGCAGTTTGATAGCATTAAGTTCACTCACATTATTGTGTGCCTTTGTGGAATTTTCTTTCTTTTTTTGGTACCAGGGATCGAACTTGGGTCCTTTCACTAGTGAGGCAGGCAGCAGAACCACTGAGCTAAATCCCTGGCCCTTGGAATTTTCTTTCCAAGAACACAGCTCGTGTTCTCAGTTTCCCGCTTGGTCTGCCTTTCATAGTGGTGTTTGGTAGAATAGTCAGGATATTTTTCTAGTTTTAATAATTCTATGGAACAAATTTTATGTTGGAGGAAAAGGACTAGATAATCTCAAATAGAACAGTAATTGTTGTTGGTTATGAGAAGGTTTTTGTTTTGTTTTGGTACCAGGATCAAACTCAGGACCTTGTGCTTGCGAGGCAAGCGGCAGAACAACTGAGCTAAATCCCTGGCATGAGATGGTGTTTTTAAAAAATACTTTATTAGAGTGTTGTCTTTTCCTAATGCTCATCATTGAATCTGATTCTGACCTACTGGAGTTTTAACTTTAGATAATAGAAAATAGAAGAGAGGTAAAGATGACATTATCAACAATAACATTAACAATAGCCACATTTATTGAATTTATTGAATGCCTACCAGTTTACAAAACATTTTTCAAATAGTGGTGAAGTGGCTATCATCACCATTTTACATTTGGATAAATTGAAACTCAGTAGTTAAAATCACATGGCAGTAAGTGCTACATTCAGGATTTGAAACTGAGCATCATGGATTTTAAAATGTGTCACCTTTCATTCTTGCTGAAACTGTGGTGTGGCCTTATTTGTAAAAATGCTTTTCACTGAACAAATAATAATGCTGACGTCAACTGTGAATGATTATTAAAAGTCAGGGAATACTTTGAGGGCAGCTCCAGAGTCTGTGGGATGATACTTTGAACTCAGTTGATCTTTTTCTCTTTGCTTTGGTCTCCTAAATTCAGAGAGAGTAGAATCTTCAACTTACTTATCCTAATGCCTAATACTACACTTACAATGAAAACAATAAGTGTTTAAATTTCTTTAAAAATTGCAATAAACACATTGCTGTAGTGCCATCAATTCCCTTCAAAATATTCTCCTTCATTTCTAAAGCAGTTCTGGAAATCCTCTTTATTTGCACTGTTCTGGTTGCCTTCAGGACCTGAATCAAGTGAAAACATTTACTTTCCTTGGTCATTTTGACTTTGAAGATGAGCCAGAAATCACGTAGTACCAGATCTGGTGGATAAGGACACACTCTGATGTTTATGAGTCTGCCTTTCTTTGGATGGCACTCGTTAGCATCATTGATTGTTTTTATCACACCTTGTAAAGGCACAGAAGACGACTGCTTCAGAAAAAGACTGCTTCAGAAAAAAGTGACAAGAATGGTGGCATACATGTGTTGGAAGCAAGGGGGAATATATTGTGGGAGATGAATGGCAATGTGTAATAAACTAATACATTTTTTAAATTTAAATATCACTATATATTTTGACCACATCTCATGTCTGATATAGAGTAGGTACAAAAATATGGATATTTCAGTTGGTTGAATTGAACTGTAGAATCAAATATATATTATATAATTGTTCCAGCACCACTGTATATATTTTACATACAAATACATGTCTACCTAGCTATTTTTGTTTTAATACAGTAATACAGTTCTTGGAATCAGAGAACCAGAAATGGAGGTTACTTTCCAAAGTACTGAATTGTATGTGGCAGTTCAACTTTTTTATTGAGAACAACCATACTTTTTGACATGCTTGTCTGCAGAGACTTGTTTGGTGCCCATTCAGCATATAGATAAAATAATTTCCCATATATATATATATATATATATATATATAGTAATAAGATTTATTTTTAAGGATCTGTCCATGGGTAAATTTATTTTTTATGGTACAAGGAAGATGTATGCCCAGATTCTTTCTCTTAATAGGTTTTGAGGCAAGGCAATAAGTAAATGTCACATAGTCCAGAAGTGAGAACAGATCTTGGTAAGCAGAACAACAGTTGAGTATCACTCGGGATACAGCCTTGTCCTTTATCACTTAACATTGAGACTTCCCTAAAAAAGAGCAGTCTGAGAAGGTTAGATTACCACCATCCAGCTTGAAGCTTTTGGCTGCCATGGCATGGTGAATGAGGGCATAATTTGTACCACATTAGTTCCAAAGCACTTAGTCTTTTAATCAAGCATGTCCCATCCAATGTGATTGCCTTTGTCTTGGTAACCTGTTGTTGGCCCAGTCATTTGGGCTACTCTAGTAGGATTGGTTTTTATTCATAGACATGGCAGAGACCGCAGCAATTCTGAACAGAGACCTTGCTTGAACCTAGGGTTCTGTAGAGGAGGCAGTGGATATTTAACAACAGCTTACTCAGATGATAATGCATTCCATTTGAGCACTGGAAGGAATTTAACAGGTATATAATCCCATACTCCATACTTTTTTTTTTTTAGTACCAGAGTGTGAATTCAGGACCTTGTACTTTTGAGGTAGGCGTGGTGCTACTGCGTTAAATCCCCATCCTATACATCTATTTATTTTAGGTAAAATGTTTTATGTGTGAAGTAATTAGATGAAAACTTCCTGTGAAATTGCAAGCTACTTTTCAAATGGAAACCAGTTGTCCTGACAGGCTTCTTTTGATGCAAATGGTGTTCAATAGCAAGACAGGAAAAAAAAAAAAAGACAAACATAGATATAAGTATTGACGCTGGTTTTCAACTAAAGATTTCATGTAGCAAAGAATTTCCCTAAATGCTGTGAAGAATTTGTTCAGACTCAAAGAACTGCTCCAGTTCCTCAGAGATAGTCGGTTATGTACAATTCATGTTTTTGATATTGTATTTGAAAATTGGTAGTAATGTTTAATGCCAAAAAAAAAAAAGACAAACATAGATATAAGTATTGACGCTGGTTTTCAACTAAAGATTTCATGTAGCAAAGAATTTCCCTAAATGCTGTGAAGAATTTGTTCAGACTCAAAGAACTGCTCCAGTTCCTCAGAGATAGTCGGTTATGTACAATTCATGTTTTTGATATTGTATTTGAAAATTGGTAGTAATGTTTAATGCCATTAGCTTTTGTCTGAAGGAGTGTAGAGTGGGATAATCATACATTATTTTGTTCACTTAGCTAATGCGATTTTGTTTGGACCACTGACTCTGCTAGTGGCTATTGTAGACACAAGCATTTAATGGTAAATAAGATGAATGTCTGCTCTCATGAAGTTTATAGCCAAGTGGAGAGAGACTATAAGGAGGTAAACCTAAAAGTGGTATTGGATCATGGTTTTAAAAAATATACAGTTACTAGTTAATGTGATAGAGAATGACTAGAGAAGGTGTATTAGTGCTTTCTTGTCACTGATTTTTTACTTGGACAATAAAACATTTTAGCTCAAACTCAGAATATCCAGCCAACCATTCCTTCCTCTTACCTGCCACACCCAATCCATCGGCACAACACCACTTTTCACGTCCACTACTCCCACCTTGCCCTTCAGCTATCTGGACTCATTTAACAACTCCTTAATTCCAGCCTTCACAGTCACAAAATACCTCACAGTCACACTTTAAAGGAAGAGAGGTTTATTTTGGCTTATATAGTTTTGGATGGTTCAGTCTTGGTATGCTCCAAGGCAAAAATAGCGTGGTGGAAGAGCCTAGGAGAGGAAATTGCTCAACTTGTGGCAGCCAGAAAACAGAGCAGGAAGAGACAGAGATATACCCTAAAGGGCATACGCCCAGCGATCTACCTCCCCCCATCAGTCCTCACCTCCTAACAGCATATTCGTTTATTAATACACCAAGGATTAATGTGCTGCTGAGTATATAGTATCACCCCATGGTCCAGTCACTTTCCAAAAGCCCCACTTCTGAATGCAAGAATTTGTGGGGGCCTTTTATATCTAAATGATGACAGAAGTTCTGTCTAGAATTGATTGGTCAGGAAAGAAGCCAAAGGTGGGATCGTTTGTGCTAGACCTGCAGGACAGGAGAGAATCAGGTGAACTGATACCAGAGAGAACAGCATTCCAGGCAGAAGGAATAGTTGATAGAAATCCTCTGAAGCAGGAGTGAGCCTCTTGTGTC